CCTTGATTTCTCGTTTGTTTATGTTGGGTTCTTTGTTTAAAATAACTGTGTTTTTAATAGATATACTATGGTTTTTTGAGTTGCAATGGTGAAAAACATGGGATGGTTTTTTATTGTGTTCTGTGAATCTGGTTTCCAATTTTCTTCCTGTTTCTCCTATGTAGAATTCTGGGCAGTTATTGCATGTTATTTTCTAAATGACGTTGGTATTGTGTGATTCTACATAATTTTTGTTTAGTAACGATTTTAATTTAGGGCCGGGTTTAAGCCGTCTCCAGCCATTATTAGTCTCAAAGTGGGTTCCTCGTCATCGAATTTGTACCCAACTGGATATTAGGGTGGTGTTTCATGCCTTTTCTCGACATCCAGTTGAGCCTTTAGCCTCATATACTAGATATCACCTTTCCCTTAACCCCTTTTGCGATGGAATCAGTATAACATATATGAGTTCATATACACATTTGCACACTTAAAGTATTTATACTATAACTTTTAATGCTGTATGTGTATATTCACAAAATTTGGCAGACTTTTTGTTATGATTCAAAGTCTTTTGTACACAAAAAATCAGATTTTTTTTAATGAAGTATTTTTACTAAACATTTGTTTGTGTAAATATTGAGTCTGTTTCATGTTTCATTACTAGTCTGAGTGCAAAGTGATTTTCATGTCATGATTAAAAACTATTCTTCGTGTCAAAAATCTCATATATTATTTGTGTAATCTCTAAAACCTCCTAAATACATTTCAAACATTTGTTTTCAGTAAAATTTTATATTTTGTTGTTATTTTCTCTATCCTAACTATACGGGTCTGTCAATTTGACTAACCTTATAAGCACCATAAAAAATTAGGAAATAAATATAAATTATGCTTTTTTTTTGTTCTAGAATGACTACAAATCATAACACGAAAACACAAATGTTTAGTCTAAGTAGCTTAAATCTCATAACATTATGCATAAAGATATATATATATATGTTATTTTTATTATATTGACCTTCCAGTTGTGCTTGGCTAACAATACAGAAGTTGCAGTGATGTGGTGCACGTGCTCTCATGTTATTGTATCCAGTAGTATATAACTGACCTTTAGTCTTTACAAAGTAACATGTTTTGGCTGTGTTTTAGTGGACTAGTGTTTTGTAAAATACAGTCACATTTCAATTATTATATATGTATTACCATCTACAAACAAGTTCTTAAACTTATTTTTCTTAAAACACAGAACGGTAAATGAAGAAGTAAAGCAAACAATTATCTCTTGTTACAACCTTTGTACTCAGTTGCTGCTTGATGTAGGTTGCTAAGCCTATAAACATTTTGCAAGTGGAGGGTATGAAACAAAATTTTTTTTTCAAGTTTTATATATACATTTGAAGAACCAAAAAATCACAAATTACTATATTCATACCATAGAATTTCATTATAATTTATCAAGTTTAGTAACTAAGCTTTGTTTTGGTCATAAAAAATATGAAATTTCGAGTAGACTAAATACACAACCTTCATCCTTGAAATCTTGTTTCGAAAGAATGAGATGGCATCCTAACACATGAAAATGGCTGAAAAAGCCACAAGGGGGACATTCTGAGCTTTCATTTGGTTATTCACATGTCATATAAACAAGTATATGTATATAAGAGACTGTTTCCAAAAATGGAAAGAGGTGAGCAAGTCTACTGTGTTTGATTCAGTACATGAGCGATATCTCGGCAAATGGAAAAGAAATAAGATTCTTAATTTATATTCTACCTTGTTAATGTTGGTAATTTGAGTTCCTAATTCGTACAAAACTATAGACTTTTTATTTTGATATCACAAACATCTAATTTGAACCAATGCTGCATTCAACATACCATATGACACAAAAATCAATGTTTAAGTGTTTTTTAATATTTACATTTAAATTAAGAAATTGAATAATGTATGATACTAAAATTTGAAGTATAATCTTCAGTTTGATACCAAACTTATTGATATAAGTTCATAAAATAGTAGCTCAATAAAATTTTGAATGCAAGTCAACAAACACATTAACATGGCCTTTGACCTGTCACCCATAGCGACATGGTTAAAGGGTATTTTTGTTGCTGCTGGCATGTGGATGTCATGGGTCAGAGTTGTTTGCACTACATATGCACAGGACTCTTTATCACTCCACTTCTGTCCTGAT